AATTGGAATAACTGACCAACGTCATTACATATTCTCTTGTTCATTAGAAAGTGATGAAATAAACACATTTGATTATCGGATATTCACTACATCGTTTTACATTCCATTAGGTTCATCCATTATCTTTAGTTCTCCTTTTGCATTTGTTGTTGATAATCAGTTAAATTGTTCATTCTCTAAAGATATCAACGTTATTTATATGAAGGAACATAATTCATATTGTGATGTTTCTAAGTATTTTCCATACGTAGAACCCCCAAAGTCAATTCCATTGAAAAGAATACGTTTCTTTACATCACATACTATTATTAGTGATGATGTGAAAAAATAAGAATGAATATAAATAGGAAAGGAGATAAAATGTGTTTTAGTTTAATTGAATTAGTATTCCATTGAAATAATAAGATAATTTTACGTTTTATGCAAAGAGATACACAAATAGAGTTTTATATAATTATTCATCTTGTTTAATTTTTGAATGTTTTATAATTAGAAAAATCAATGAGTTTTCAATCAACAAATAAAATAAATAAACCATCAATGTAACTATGACATTGAATGTTACATTATTACAATATTATAATATTACAATATTGAAATATAAATAATTTTATTTTATTCATTATTTGACGGTGAAGTATTATGATTCTTTTCTTAAAAATCTGAAAATATCACCATTTCTATTCTTCAAAACTATTTGTACTATTTCATTATGTTATTTAATTCATTTGGTTTTGTTTGTTTTACATTCATTGTCATTTGTTTTTTCCTTGTTTATTTTCTTTTTATTCTTATCTTCAAATTATTTCATTTAATTTCTCATAACTTATTCTTATTCTTCTCTTTTATTAATTTGTTTTATCTTTGTTATAAACATAACTTATTATTCTTATTTGTCTGATGTTATTATCATCATTAATTGATTTATATAATGTTTTTGTGTTATTATTTTAGTTATGAAATAATCATTCTAACATTGTGTATTGTGTATTTTCATATGAACATCATATCTATACTCATTTATTCATATTTGTTCTATCATAGTCATGTTAAAAACACAACATTTCATTGTATAAATAATTAGTCATTTGATTTTGAATAAACTATTGCACAAACAATTTCTTAGTTGATTTTAACATCTCGTTCAACATAATGAGATGGAAATATTCCTATTTTCCCTTTACTTTCTCCTTCCCACCATTCTCCATCAGTAGAAATAACTGTGATCCATTCTCCTTTTTCTAATTTCAATTCATGTTCATTTTGTGGGTTGTAACTATAAACAACTCTTCCATGAAATACATTCGTTGGTTTTCTGGTGGTGTTTTGAACAGAGTGTGTTTTGACTGAATTAGTGATGACATTAGTCAGTTCTAAAATGTTCTTTTCTTCATCTTTCCAATGATATTGACTTACTCTCTCAATAATTTTACTGTTCATTGTGAGACAACCCCATCCTTCTCTAATAAATACTTGACCAATACTTTCTGCTATCTCTGAAATTGTTTTAAGGAGAATATTTCTATCATTCTTTAATTCATTTCTCATTTCTAAATATTCTTCTTTACTTTGTTGATATTTCTTGTTGATGGAAATTAAAGAAGAACATGCTAATTTCTTTTTCTTTTTCTTCATTACTTGTTGTTTTATTTTATCCATTTTTTTTCTTCTTTCTTCCAACTCACAGTCTCTTCTACTTAATATTCTGAATTGATTAAGAAATGAATGGAGAGGGATTTCTACATTATCTTTGATGGATGAATTGAAATAGTTTTGTTGATTCAGAATATCCTGTGATGCATTCAAAATGGAGTTAGTCAGTTGTGTTGCTTTGAGGTTGTTTAGTGTCATTTCACATAATGAGTATGAAATTTCAACTTGAAGTAAAGCAGCTTCATGAAGTGTGTTTTTGAGTTTGATAATTGTTTGTAATGTTGAGAATAACTTCTTTTCTGATTCAATGGATTTTTCTCTAATCATCTGATATTCTTGGTCAACTGTTTTTACTCTTTCAACCTTTGTAAACAACTTAAACATCTCATTTCTCATTCTACCCATTCTCTTCTAATTCAAGTCAATGTTTCTTTTAATGCACTGTCTTTTCATTTTGAAGAGTCAACCATCACAAGACTAGATGAATTAAATGTTATAAACACCACAATGATAGAATGAGAATAAATGGAATATTCAAAAAATGAAACATCAAATCAATCTAATAATCAAAATTGTGAATATTTTGTGTATAATAAAATAATAGAAAGGATATTATAGAAAATAGTAAAATATTCAATTCATTTTTTAGAAAGAAGAGAAAAAGGAATTTCAAGAATTTAAATAAAAAGAATAAGTTCATTTCACAACATTATTGTTTAATGTTTATTTCATAATTTCTGTTTATTATTTCCATTTCATTTTCTTATTTATGTATTATTTGATTTTATTTATAAGAGTCATTGACATTAATTCAATAACAATGAAACTGTGATTTGTTTGTATGTTATGAATTGTAATAAGTCTTTAAGATTGAACACCTTAACAGTAAGTAACATTCTGTTTTTATGAAATAACTTAAATCAGTTAGTAAGTACATTCAATCCACATAAAATATGAATATCAAACTATATGTTCATTGGGTTTTTTTATTTCATTTTCAATTCATCAAGATTGAATCATTTCATTTCAATTACTATGATTCGTTTTGGTGTGAAACATTCTGGAATTTGTTTTCCACAAAGTGCATTTGATATTCCTTCATATTCAAAGCAATTTTGCTCACAATGTGAATATGTTTTATCGTTTTCTTTATAAACAACAATGTCCCATCCATTTCCAAATGAAAATAAATAATCATCTGTTTGATTATATATTTTAAACGCATATTCTGGTTCTTCATTATCAAATTTCATCATTCCTTCAATTCTTCCATTTGATTCTAATGAAAATACAAATGATTTTGAATCATTTATCCAACCACCAACTTCTTCAATTTTACAATTAACATATCCTCCAAATTTATTTCCATCTTCATCTTCAATAATAATTATTAGATGTTCTTTACTCATTAGTCTTGATTCAAACACCGATGTATTAACTTTCCAATCATCTTTATCTGAATCAAATATTTTATCTCCGACTCTTCTATTTGTCCATTCTTCTATTTGGTTAATAAACGCTGTTTCCATTTTATTTTAATTTGATGTTTATAAGTTCAAAATATTGATGTTTAAATAGTTAAATACACATTGCTAAATATCATTTATTTATTACTTTTATTATCGCTCTACTTTAAATAAACATCATTCATTTAGTTTCACAATAACAATAATTATATAATAATATTAATAATATAATAATAAAATTATAATATTGTTATTTTTATATTGCTGTTTTTTATTTTTATCATCTCATCTGCAACAATGTTCCAATATAAAGACATCACTATGATATTGAACAAACAAATAATGCCTAAAAGTGATGGATAATATCACAAAATATCAGATATATATGTATTAGATAAAAAGAATAAAACTAGTCTAATATTTGATATGACTATTGTGGCTGATCACAATATTAATGATGAGCCTATTTGAAGGAAAGAAATAAGTACAATGAATTAAAGAATATGCCTAATGAAAATAGAAAAGTTAAAAGATGTCAAAATAATTCCAGTAGTAATCTCAATAAATGGAATAATAAATAAAGAAAGTAATAGATTAAATAAAGAATTAAAGAATGAGATTGACATCGAAAAAGAAGTAAAAAACCTTGTAATAAAAAACATGATGGATGTTATGGAATACTGCTTCTATCACAACCAAACATACTCTGTATATCTGATAGAAGAAGATTCATTGATTTAATTATTTTCAAATGAATAAAGAATAATAGAAATATCTCTGTTAATACTTAATTATTTGCTTTTTAGTTAAATTAAAAAATATTCAATGAAAAGATAATTTTAATTTTGAAGAATTAAATTATACAGTAAATGATATTGAATAAATTGATGAGAATATTGGGTGTTGTAACAATGTCTAATTTGAAAAATGTTAGTTCTAGTTTTTTTTTTAAAAATCAACAAAAGAATTAAACAACAAACAGAATAAGAATATTTTGATGAACAGAGACTTCGTTTAAATTGAGACAACAACCTTTTCTGTTGTAGTGTTTGTTGAAATAATGAACAATAATTAATAACATTTCTGATTCCTATACAATCAGTTGTGCTATCTGGGCATTCAAATGAAGAAAGTTCAAAGTCTATGAGAGTAGCTTTTAAATTAAATGTATATCTTCTATTATGAGACATGTCAATCAATATGTTTGGCTCTCTCTTTAAAAGAATATTTTTAGAATGAATATCACCATGAGAATATCCAAAAGATTTTTCAGCAATACTTAAACTCCATAATAATTGAAAGATTACTTGAAGTAAATCATTATAACTAAGTTCTTTTATTTGATAAACTGTTTTTCCAGAATTTTCTGATATAAAACCAATATATTTTCCTTTTTTAAGTAAAACAAAGGAATTAGTATCTTCATTTGTTTGAGAACTTAGAATAACTTCATGCTTTCTTTTTGTATCACTAACAAGTAGAATATCATTTTCATTAACAAATGAAACAGTTCTTAATAATGGAAGAAAACTAGTTGTTTTATTTTTTAATAATTTAGTGATTCTATTCCATTTTTCATATTCTGTAATTCCCTGTTGATTAAATGGTCTTATTTTAATAATTTGACTATTCAACATACATACAATTGAATGATTTCCAATACCAATTACTCTACCAATATTTTTGATAACATTGTTATTAGAAATTATACTTGGCCATTGGTCTGCCATTTAACTTAATACTATCTATAAACAGATTATATATTTTAAGTTTAAGTTTTATTAATTATACAAAGCATCAAAGTTTGTTTCGATTTATAGAAACCAAAAAATATATAAAAAAAGTGGAAAAAAAAAAAAGAAAATGACAAAATCAAATTAATTAAAATTGAGATGCAGCAGCAGAAACAGCTACTTTGGTTCCTTGTTCAACAGCAACCTTCTTAACCTTCTTCTTAAGAATAGATCGAGATCCTCTAGCACATAAAGCAAAACCAACAAAATTCATTGACTGCATGACAAAACAAATAATAGCAAGTCCAAGATAATTGATTCTAATACCTAAGAAACATAAGAAACATACACCAACCCATAATAAGGGTGCAGCTATCATTGTTACCCAAAAAATCATCATTTCAATATAACTTAATCTTACTTTTTGATGGTCTTCCATAGCTTCAAATATCCATTGAGAAGAACCATCCTCATTAACTTTATTCCACCACCTTAGTCCAACTAATAATCTTCCACTAATATTCTTAGTAATCCAAAAATCAACTGCAGTGAATAATAAACAAATAGAAAACGATATAACAAAATATCCGTCCATAAATATAAAGAATAATACATAAACAAGAATTGCAATAAGTTTAAGACCAATATGTAATGATGCTATAATTGGATGATGACTTCCTTTTTCAATGACTTGGTTGTTTTCTGCATTTCTTTCTTCTTGAGTTGTTTGAACTATTTTTGTGGCGTCCTGAAAATCCATTTACTTTGTATTTTTTTATTTGAGTTCCTTTAAAATTCCTATCTTTTTCATCTCATTTTTATTTGTCTAATTGTTTTTTTTTTAATTTTTTGATTAAAACGAAGATATGATTTGTAAATGAAGTAATAATCTTTTTATGTACCAAGAAATACTTTCCATTTATATTTGTCTCTTTCATGTTTACAGACATCACAACATAAAACTGCTTTTAGTCCTTTTATTGTTGGTTCATAAAAAATATATGGTAAAACATAAACAAAAATTATATTATTTTTTAACAGAAACTAATAGTTTTTCATTAGAAACTTAATGCAAAGAGATGATATTCTTTGCCAAATTTGTACATCAAATAAAGCAAAGTATAAATGCCCTAAATGTTTAACTCCATAGTTTGTTTATTTAAACCATTCTCTCCTGGTTTGAGTCTCATTATTAGTTGTACTGTTTCTTGCTTCAAAAAACATAAAAGTCAATGTAAAGAAGAAATTAAAAAGTCTGAACCAATATTACCTAAACGAAAAGACAAGAAAACAAATTATTTGAGTGATACAATCAAAGAAAAAATACGTTTGTCATATCTCTTTCTTGTAATTAATTATTCATCTTTTAGTTGAAGATAAAAGACTGTTAGAAATCTTACAAATACCACGTACTATTGAATTATTAAAAATTGTTCAAGAAGAAGGAGTTGATACATTAAAGAGTTTGATGTATGGAGAAACACCAGACGATATTATTTTTCAAAATTTTGCAATGAGACTTCTTCAAGCAGTAGGATTACGTGATTCACAAGGAGTTTGCATTTTATAATTTAATTTTGGTAAATATAACAATCTTTAAAGAGTAGAAAAAAAGAAAAATTTAAAACTTCAAGCAATAAAATGAAAAAATTAAAAAATCAAAAACAAAGAGAAAAATTGAACTTTTAAATGGTAAATAACATAATTGAATAAGGATGAATATGACTAATGACCCTTTACCAATTGCAACTTCTTATGTTAATGACAAAACTAAGTTTTTAAAAACAGGTACAACTATTTGTGGATTAGTTTGCGACAAAGGACAAACCGTTGTATTAGCGTGTGATTCACGTGCAACTGTTGGACCAATTGTAGCAGATAAGGCTTGCATGAAATTACATAAATTAGCACCAAATATTTATTGTGGGGGAGCAGGTACTGCTGCTGATTTAACTCATGCAACAAACTTCATTGCCACAAAACTTGGGGTTCATCGATTTACTATTGGACAAATGCCAAGAGTTGATACTGCTGTTACTATGCTTAAAAGACATTTGTTTCCTTATGGAGGACATATTGGAGCCTATCTTGTTGTTGGAGGATATGATTATACTGGAGCTCATCTTTGGGGAGTTTATGCAGATGGTTCAACTAGTCAACATAACTACTATTCACTTGGAAGTGGTAGTATTGCTGCAACGACAATGTTAGATGATCAATGGAATGAAAACTTAACGAGAGAAGAAGGTGTTAAATTAGCAACACAGGCTATCCTTGCAGGTATTTTTAATGATATGGGTTCTGGAGGAAGAGTCAATGTATGTGTAATAGATAAGAATGGAGTAGAAGAAAAATTAAATATTGAACATCCAAATGACAGAAAATTCAAGAATCCAGATTTCAAAGGATTTCCTAAGAAGCTTGAAATTCTCAAGAAAACAGTTATTCCTATTGAACATGAAGAAGAAGACTTTAAAGATCAGAAACAAATGGAGTTAGAATAATTTCACTTTTTTAATTACACAGCTCTTCTTTCATATTTATGACAAAATGATTTTACGAAACAATCTAAGACGTGGAGAAATTACCATAGAAAAAAGTGATAAGTTAACCAAAATTTGTTTTTTGGTTTTTTTTCTTCACCAAACCAAAACTTCTCAAATATAATAATAAAGAATTATTCAAAACAATAATTTTTTATAACTTTTGAACAGATTGTAATAAGAAGAGACAAAGAAACAATAACGAAAATAACAAGGAAGAGAAAAAACTATTTTTAGAGGAAGAAGTTTGTGAAGAACTTACAATTCAGATTGAGATGAGTTTTGCAGAGAATCTTATTGATGGACTTGATGTTGTTTATAAACATTCACAAAACAACACTAAGGCATTTGGAGATTTTAAAGACTTTTTAGTAAAAATGGCTAATGCCCGTAAAGATTATGCTAAAAGTATGCTTCGTATGGTTCAAGAATTTAGACAAAAACGAATTTGTGGTCAAACAACACTTTACTATGGTACTGTTAAAGATGCTTTAGAAACGTACTTAAATGCTCTTGAAGAAGATATAAACAAAGATACTGCTATTACTAATGTACTTTCTACTTCAGCAAAAGTATTTGAAAACGATATTAAAGAACTTGAAAAACAATCAAAGGGTTTAATTTCTGATGGAAACAAAATGACAAAAGCTATTGAATCTCAAAAAGATGTTTTGAAAAAGGAAAAAGAAAAATTCATTAAATTATATAAAGAAGCTGAAGCTGCTACTGCTGCAGTTGAAAAAGCTATGCAAGACCCTTCTACTAAAGTCAATAAAATGCAACAACTAACTTCTAAAAAAGAGGCTGCTATTGAAAAAGCTAAAGAAGCTGATTCAAATTATCGTGCTTGTGTACAACTTACAAACGATAGAATTCATGATTATTATAATTCTCAACAACCAAATCTTCTTTCACAATTCCAGGCTTTTGAAGAAACGTGCATTAATACATTAAAAGATTTATTAAATAAATTTGGATTAGCATATACTGCTCTTCCTGATGCTGCTAATAAATTTGTGGATTTCACCAGAAGTAAGTTTGATGCTATTGATGCTGATGCTGATATTAATACATTTGCTACTACAAAAGCAACAAATGGTCATATGCCTGATGACATTCCAATAGAAGATGCTAATGGAAATGTTTTATTTGAAGGTGCAAGTAACTCAATTCAGTCACATACTACACAAAATACTCAATTTACTTCATCTGTAACTGAAACAACAACTACAACTAATGTCGAGGACAACTCCCAACCAGCCCAAGATGGATTAGAAAAATGTAATATTAATGTCAAAGCTTTATATGACTATACCGCAGAAGCAGAAAGTGAATTAACTATTACTGAGGGAGAGACATTAGTCATCACTGAGAAACACTCTTCTGGGTGGTGGTTTGCTACAAATAGTCAAGGGCAATCAGGATTTGTCCCTGAAAACTTTGTGGAAGTTATTTAAAACTAATAATACTGACTTTGAGAAATGCTTGTTTTTAGTTGTTTTTTACTTCATATTGTTAGTATTTTTAAAAAATATTTTCTTATTTTAATAATTCTAAATTTTTAAACTATTTACTACTTATGCTCAATAATAATTGAATAGAAATATCTTTTTTCAAGCAGGTTATTAATGTCAGTTGTTTATATTGAAAAGGCATAACAAAAATTAATAGATATGGTAAATTTCCATACTTGCTTATAATAACACTAAAAAAAGATTAAATTATTGTTTTGTATCAGAAACAATTTCTAATAAATCAAGAAGATTATCCAAGAGATAGAGAGATAGGTAGAAGAAGAGAGTAATGAAAATGTGACTTGTTTCTTTAAAATACTTGATTCTTTTTTAAAAGAGAATAATAGTCATTGATTGAATTTCATTTGATTCACATAGTTGGAAAGATATTTAAAGTTATGAATATAAAACGAAATTAAGGTATGTGATTGGTGGATAAAATGAATTGAAATTGTTTTGTTAATAAGTGGTGCCATTTTGTTTTGTTATGTTGTTTTCTTGATGTATTGTATCAAAGAATCAGTGAATATTCAAAGACATAAAACACATGATAAAAAATTATTGATTGATTAAATATTAGAATTCAATTGTATTTGAATTTACATTTATTCTGTTCAATTTATATCTCTCATTTAAAGATAATCCGTGATGAAATATTTGTTAATAAGAATTATTGTATAGTCTTAATTAGGTGTTGTATAATAACAACACATTAATTCAATGTAAAGAGAAGAGTTGTGTTTATGTTAGTTTAATAAGATGGTTATACTTCATAAAATAAAGACTTAAATTAGATGAACAAAAAGTGGGATAACTGAACCGAAATTGATAAAATTTGAAAAAACCAATAAAACACGAATGAGAAATGGTTATTAGTGATAAAGAAATGATGATAAAAATAAATGGATGAAGTTATAAGTATTATGAAATACTTCTATAAGAAAGAAGAGGGAAATAGATATTAATATAGGAATAACAAAGGCATGAAATGAATAATAACGTATATAAAAATAAGATGATACGTAAAGATGTACTTTAAATACTCAGTAGCAAAATAACATGACTCAATGAAATAACAAGAAATTTATCCTACATCAAATATTAAAATAATAATAAAATAACACAGAAATGGCACAATGACAAACAACACAAGAAATTATCTAGAATAGAATAAGAAGAAGTTTGTGAAATGAAAAAGGATAGAATTTAAACAATATATAAAAAATTGAATGAAGTTTCATAAAATAACAAGAAAAGAAATAAAAGAAGTTGTATTGTATTAATTATGATGATTGAAAGAAAGAGATAAACAAGAATATTGGAATGATGTAGAAAGAAAATACTAAATTGAAATATTCTTAATAAAAAGAGTTTAATAGAAAATATAAAAGTAAGACATTCATAGAATCAAATTTCAGAAGAATTAAATAAACGAGAATAATTGAAGAAGATAACAAACAACGATAATTTAAAATCAAGAAGTAATGAAAGATATTACACTAAAACAGTAGTTTATAAGATATAATGAAATACTAACTTAATAAAAGTTATTTCAATAATGATGAGAAGATGAAAAGTTATATATTATACACACAACACTAACATCAAATTATCTGAATAGAATTATAATTATATACTTTAATAACAAACACATACAATGTTATGAAATAAGACACAGAAATAAATATATTTTTAATACAAAT